CTCCCTGCCCCCTTAGCCTTAATGGTGCCATGCTGGAATGGCTGTGGTCCCTGCTAGTGGGACAGAGAAGGGGCGGGGGTGGAAACCCCAGTCCTGGGCAGCCTGACACAGAGGCTGCTTCTCCTCCTCCTCCTTTCACTGCTCCAGGGGTGGGACCTGGCCAGATGCCATCGTGGCTTGACCCAGTTAAGGTGAAGGGGGTCGGGGTTAATTCCTCCCTCTGTCCCTTCTGCATCTGGGGACCACAGCCTGAGTCTTCCAGCCCCTCACCCCCCTCATTGCACACAGGCGACAGGCAGACCCCAGCTCCAGTGGGGGGGAGGGGAAGGAGGGAAGAATTAACCCCCTCCCTGCCTACTTTGCCTTAATGGAGCTATGCCCGCTGGTGTCTCACCGCGTCCATCCTTGTCCCTGCTCAGGTTAGAGAGCAGAGGGGCGGGACCAGCCCTGCTCTCTAGAGCAGACAACACAGCCCAACCCAGAGACCCTGCTGGGGTGCTGGAGGACTCTGGTTTAACTTAAACCAGGAAGGGGTCTGGGACAGACATTGAATAAACTGGGTTGACCCAAATTGGTTAAGTCTGATACTACAATCAACCAGGTTTATCTTAAACTAGTTTCAACCATTTTGAAACTGGTTCATGTGCACTGAACTTATGTTCTGTTACAGGTTTAAACCAGTTTCTGATCATTTAAACTGGTTTATGTGTCACTTTTGTAACTAGCCTTAGTGCCCACAACCTACACTTCAAGATGTACCTTTGAGAAACAATGAAAATGAGAGCTTCTCAAGAGTAAGACCTTCACTTGATGAGTTAGAAAGTGCATAAGGATTTGATTTTCCTGATTTATATGGTTATGACCAAATTCCTATATGAGATACTCACCCATTCCTAGTGATTGCTGAGCCTAGCTTGCCTTACAGCTGCAAAAGTCTTTAGAAGCTCTTTTAAAGGATTTTTCAGTCTTACTAATTCTGGGAACTATAATAGCCATTTTCCTTCATGTTCTTTCAAATAGGCTCTATAAGACAGTAAAGTTCATTTTAACGGGAAAAAACCCACAAAAATAGCAGCGATGAATGAGAGGCAAAAAATAACAATGGACAACACAAACAGTTCAGTGCAGTGGGAGAATATTGCCATTTTCCTTGTTTCATTAAAAAAAAATGTAGTATTATTTTGTCTTAAAATATACAAGCTGTGTAAAACAGCTGACTTAATGTTGCATCAAAAACCTTGGGTGAAATCCAAGCACCTTTTAGCAAATGGCAGAACTCCCATTGACTTCAACAGGGTCAAGCTGTCATCCCTTAATTGTTTACTTTCTTGGTTTTTGTGTATTTGATTTTTTACCCTTTATTTGTCTTTTGTTACTTTTGCCTATAAGGGAAACAGATTCCTAGCTGGTATTATCTTTAATGGAGCCATGCCAACTCATGCTAGCTGAAGGTCTGGCCCAATTTGAAAGTTCCTAAGACACATAGCCAAGCATGATAATATTGTGATTCTGGCACCCATTTAGAAAGTCAGTATACAGCAAATTTTATAGAATCATGTGAAAGAAGCAGAGGAATGCATTACAAATCTGGTATTTAAGTTAAGAATTACATTCTACTGTATGTTGTCTTGCAATAGATTGATGATACTGGGGATTATTTCCAACTGCATAGAACTTGGAGGCTCAAGGCTGAATTGATTCAGTCTTTGCAGGTTAGTTTAAGCTGCAGAGATTAAACTGAGAAACAACTGGACAGACGTTTACCTTTGATTCAGGAAATGCAGCCACATGCCTACAGCAGCTCAGGCCAGAAGCTGAGGTGGTGGGGGGAGGGCGGCGCTAAAGCATGACTCTCTAGCATGTAGCCAGCATGGGCAGTGTGTTGGCTTCCTCTTCTTGCTGTCCCCCAAGGTCTCTGGGATTTGCAGACCAGAATCACAGCAGCAGGACTATTCAGGGTTGCTCATCACTTCCTTTTCCTTCTTCCAGGTGCCTCTGAGATTTGTAGTCCAGTCACAGCCAGCAGTAAGTTTGAGCAGTGGAAGGGGTGTTTAACCCCCCTCCCTGGCCCCATCCCCCATCCAGGGTTTGCCTGGAAGCCAAGCTTGCTCCTCCCCACCTTGTCAGCCAGCCCTTACTGCTCCAACTAGGGAGCAGAAGGGCAGAGCTAGCCCTGCTCTGCTGGAGCAGACAGCGCAGCCAAACCCAGGAAGGAGTCTGGGACAGAAGTTTTATAAACTGGTTTGACACAAATCAGTTAAGTCTGGTACCACAGTCAACCAGGTTTATCTTAAACCAGTTTCAGCCATTTTGAAACTGGCTTATGTGCACTTCTGTTACAGGTTTAAACCAGTTTCTGATTACTTAAACCAGTTCATGTGTAATTTTGGTCCCTAGCTTAAGAGTTTTTAGCTGACCCTATCACTGCAACCATAGCATGTACTAGGATGTATTAAGTGAAATCATTCTTTGATATTAAACACATCAGCATTATTAGCTGTGCCAGATTTGAAACACAACAAAAGGCCATGTTCATTCTAAACTTCAAAAAACTTTTCTCCCCGAATTACCTTTTGAGTTGAGTTGCTTATGCCTGTCCTCAACCAAGGAGGTCCTCAACCAAGTTTGTCTGGAAAGCTTGAGGAAAATTTATTTAGCTATTTCTTAGTTATCACACCATATTTCATCTCATTAAGCTTTTCTACAGGCATGAGCTTTTTTTTTTTTTTTTTTTGCATTTTATTAATTCAAAGTGGTTTGGATTTAAAACTTTGTCCTTTGGCAGAACACTTTGAGGGATTGGGTTATAATCACTCTGGGATATATTCACACCCCATGAAATGAGGTTAAATATGGCATTGTTTAACATTTAGGTGCCTTTCTGTTGTGTGATAGCCACTTAAGCTGGCTCATAAAAAAGTCCGAGGAGAGACATGCAGGGGAGATGTGTAGGGGGTGCACGTGCACCCCCTGAGAGTGCTGGTGCACCCCCTGTCAGGCCATGT